AAGTAGTGGGGGAGCTGGAAGATATATTGTGGAGCAGTTGGTGGGCCGGCTGGAGTGCCTTGCGGACGGGCTGGTGGAGCAGTTTGTGGATGGCAGGAGCTGCTTGTGGGCCGTGGAGCTGAGCGAAGGAGTTTGTGGGGGCGACTGGCGGAGCGGAGCGCAGCCGAGCGAAGGAGTTTGTGGGGCGGCTGGCGGAGCGGAGCGCAGCTGAGCGAAGGAGTTTGTGGGGCGGTCAGCTTCAGATCATGTAAGGTGCCTCTTACCCCTGTCCCATTTCCACCCAGGTTGGGAGGTAAAGCTCCACAGATAAACTTTTGAACTCTGGGGCGGCCCTGACCAGGGACAGAGACTTTTGGGGCATTGGACTTTTGGGACTTTGAGTGATTTGGGGTTGCTGGACTCAAGAACCAAAGGGAAAAGGGCATGCCCCAATTTGCTTGGGGTGGGTTTTTGCTCATGGGTTTTGTTATGAATCCTGTTGGTGGTGTTTCCCAAACATAATGCCACATTGTTTCTCTCTGTTTTTAAAAGGCTTTTGCTACACTCAGACTATGTGCTTGCGAGAGGGGAAGTATTGCCTCTTGGAGGCGCCCAGCGGGGGTGGTATATATTTGTCCCAGGTCACTGGGTGGGGGCTCGAGCCGGTTTGCATTGTGTTATTGGAATGGATCCCCTAGATATTGAACCCGGCCCTTGTTGCTGCCAACTCTGACGGGCAGAAGGGTTACACATAGAATCATAGAATATCAGGGTTGCAAGGGACCTCAGGAGGTCATCTAGTCCAACCCCCTGCTCAAAGCAGGACCAATCCCCAATTAAATCATCCCAGCCAGGGCTTTGTCAAGCCTGACCTTAAAAACTTCTAAGGAAGGAGATTCTACCACCTCCCTAGGTAACACATTCCAGTGTTTCACCACCCTCCTAGTGAAAAAGTTTTCCTAATATCCAACCTAAACCTCCCCCCACTGCCACTTGAGATCATTACTCCTTGTCCTGTCATCTTCTACCACTGAGAATAGTCTAGAACCATCCTCTTTGGAACCACCTCTCAGGGAGTTGAAAGCAGCTATCAAATCCCCCCTCATTCTTCTCTTCTGCAGACTAAACAATCCCAGTTCCCTCAGCTTCTCCTCGTAAGTAATGTGTCCCAGTCCCCTAATCATTTTTGTTGCCCTCCGCTGGACTCTTTCCAATTTTTCCACATCCTTCTTGTAGTGTGGGGCCCAAAACTGGACACAGTACTCCAGATGAGGCCTCACCAATGTTGAATAGAGGGGAACGATCACGTCCCTCGATCTGCTGGCTATGCCCCTACTTATACATCCCAAATTGCCATTGGCCTTCTTGGCAACAAGGGCACACTGTTGACTCATATCCAGCTTCTCGTCCACTGTCACCCCTAGGTCCTTTTCCGCAGAACTGCTGCCTAGCCATTCGGTCCCTAGTCTGTAGCGGTGTATGGGATTCTTCCGTTCTAAGTGCAGGACCCTGCACTTATCCTTGTTGAACCTCATCAGATTTCTTTTGGCCCAATCCTCCAATTTGTCTACGTCCCTCTGTATCCTATCCCTACCTGACACCGTATCTACCATTCCTCCTAGTTTAGTATCATCCGCAAATTTGCTGAGAGTGCAATCCACACCATCCTCCAGATCAATATGAAGATATTGAACAAAACCGGCCCCAAGACCGACCCTTGGGGCACTCCACTTGATACCGGCTGCCATCTAGACATGGAGTAATTGATCATTACTGGTTAAGCCCGACAATCTAGCCAACTTTCTACCCACCTTATAGTGCATTCATCCAGCCCATACTTCTTTAACTTGCTGACAAGAATACTGTGGGAGACCATGTCAAAAGCTTTGCTAAAGTCAAGAAACAATACATCCACTGCTTTCCCTTCATCCACAGAACCAGTAATCTCATCATTGAAGGTGATTAGATTAGTCAGGCATGACCTTCCCTTGGTGAATCCATGCTGACTGTTCCTGATCACTTTCCTCCCGTGTAAGTGCTTCAGGATTCATTCCTTGAGGACCTACTCCATGATTTTTCCAGGGACTGAGGTGAGGCTGACTGGCCTGTAGTTCCCAGGATCCTCCTTCTTCCCCTTTTTAAAGATGGGCACTACATTAGCCTTTTTCCAGTCATCCGGGACTTCCCCCGATGGCCATGAGTTTTCAAAGATAATGGCCAATGGCTCTGCAATCACAGCCGCCCTCTTACTCTCCCTGAGATGCCAAAAGGGCCAGGGGCTTCAGCAGCTTCCCCAGCCCCTGTCCCCTGCCCCCAGAGCCCACCTCCCTGAAACCCCAGTATGTGAGTCCCCAGCCCTTCCCCCCACCAGTCTGTGCCCTGTGCTCACCCCGCTCCCCCTCCCTGTGTAGGGCTCTAACCCGTCTGTCTGTCCGGCTCACCTGTGTGGTGGGGGAGGGGCCATGCCCAGTGTCTGTGTCTGAAGAGGCAGCTGCTTGAGCGCTGTAAAGTCCACCTCCTACCTTTGCCCCGGCTGACCCGAGCCCCCAGCGCAGCCCTCCAGCACCCCTGGGCCCCTCTGCCACTGGGCTTTGGACACCGACCCAACCCCCAGACAAACCCCCACCCCACCCTTGGGAGCGCTGCAGCCAAAGGGCACTCAGACAATTTGGGTACAGCCCTGACAAGCCCCAGCCCCCTCAGAAGCCCCTGTGGGCACCTGCCTGAGGCTTTGTGCATGTGGCCTGGACCCTGCAAAGGGCCGTGGACCTGCAGCCTCCTTCCCCTCCTGCCCCCGGGAGCTGTTGAGTTACAGCTAATTCAAGTCGTGCAGTATTATGATATCCCCTAACATCTCCCCCCATCAGACACAGCCAGCGCATCCTTCCTGGGGGCCTGTCACCTCTCGGGCCCTGCTCCCGCTCATGGGGATACTCCCCACCTGGCTCAGGCCCATGATGGCCCCTCTCAGTGGGTGACTGGCCGCCCCTGCTGGGCCTCATCTCACAGTCGCTGGGGCTGCAGTTACTCTGCACCGAGTGACACTGATCACTGGGCTGTGACCTCTGGTGCTGTGGGACGTAACTCGCTCTCACTGGGCGATAATCAAGGGTTTCAGAAACACCCAGTGACTGTCCCAAGGTGCAGCCGCCTCCATGGCGCCGGCTGGGAACTTTGCCGGACACATTCAAACCTGGCTGTTAATTGTTATGCATCTAAATCCCTCTTGTCTGAGGAACTGAGCACCAACTGCTTCCGGTGCGGCGAGTGGGAGCTGCTGCGGTTCTGTCCTCTGGAAACCAGCCCACTTCCGCCGGGCTCTAAACACGGCGTCAGATGCAGAACCAGGGGCACCCAGCTCTGAGCATTTCAGCTCTTGTAAATGGCCATTTTTATCTGAATCGTGGGACACCTGCTTCTCCTCTCCTCCCTGCTGCTGGCATCTTCCTCACGCCCCCCACGCTCTCTGCAGGGATTTCACTGGAAAAGGCAGGTGAACCGAAACAGACATTTTGTCCCATGGGTTCATCACCTGCTACAGAAAAGCACAGGTAAAGTCACAGTAACAGTAGCAGGTGCCTGGGATGAAGTGGTCACGTGATGGCAGGAGAGGCTGTGAGGTGGCCGAGCGCCGCCTGGCTTTACACTGACCTGCCCCTGGCTCTGCTCACTCAGGGGGTGTCCACACTGCAGTGAAGGTCTGACAGCACCGTGTGTAGACACACCCCAGCTAGCTTTGATCCAGCGAGCTCGGGTACTGGTAGCTATGAAGCCGCAGCAGCACGGGCTGTTCACACCCACCCAGACCCCTGGGTGTCACTCAGGGACTAGCCTGCAGCTAGCTGCTGGGGCCATGTAGATGCACCCTGGGGGCAGATTTTCCACAGAGCTCCAAACCCACCACTGGGTTCGATGCTCAGAAGAGCTCAGCTCCCAGCGTGCCCCCAGCCCAGCCAGCTGAGCGAATCTGAACCTCACCCATGGGGGCAAATCGTCCTCCCAGCTCCCAGCTCCAGTGTCTGGCCCAGGCACTGGGCAGATTCATTGCAGGGACTGTGGGAGCAGGGCGAGAAGGAACAATCTGTTTCCTCCAGGCTGCAGAGAAGCTGCAGAGCTTTGTCATGGAGGCCACGGAAAACCGATGGCTGGAGCGGCCGACACACCCTCCCCACCTGCAGGAGGGAAACAGGATCCATGGAATAGTGAAAACACTGCACCCAGTATGGAGAATTTGCCCCATCAGAGATCTCAGGGGTGGGTCTGCATCACTGTACAAGGGCCAGGAACGGTCCCTCCTCCTCCGCCTGCAGGAGCTGCTGCACTGAGATCCCCACCAGAGACACAGCCTGATGCTGCCAGCACCCTGGATGGCAGGTACCATAGGCCGGGGAGGCTGAGCCTCCCCAAACAGGATGCAGCACCCCTGCCTTTGGAGGCAGGCTGCAGACCTGCCGCCTTTGGAGTGCTGCCTGAGCTCCACCCGGAGCCCTCACTCCCGCTCTTCCCCCAAACACCACAGCACCCGCCGCTTGCCGCCCATCAGCTGTGTGGGGGGCCCCGCCACTTGCTCCTCTCCGCCCGTCCCCTGTCACTCACCCTTAAGGCAGGAGGGGGCAGAAAGGAGCAAGTGACAGGTGAGGGGGCCTTGGGAGAGGGGGTGGGGGGAGAGGAGCGAGCTGCAACAGTGAACAGGGAGCCTCTGGGGAGGGGGATGAAAAGGAGTGGGGCCGGGCTTGGGGCAGAGCAGGAAGGGAGAATGGTCGGGGCCTCGGGGAGAGGAGGCCAAATGGGGGTGGAGCAGTGGGCAGGGCGATGATCCGGGCACTGGGGAGTTTCCAGCACTCACGCCCGGCCTCCCCAAATGCCGGAGGCATGCGCTGCCCATGGCCGGCACCAAGCCTGTGCAACGGAGCAAACAACCAGAGCAGGTTCATAGCCTCATCCTGGAGCTTTACGGGCCCGGCATTCCTGGGAATGCTGCAGGGGGAAGGGCTCAGGGAGGAATAAACCCAGACACCCACCTGCCACTCTGTAGTTTTCTTTTTCTCTTTAGACGTCAGAGCCAGGACCTCTTGCAGCTCCTTCCTCAGAGGGTCCAGGGCTCCCTGGAGTTTCACCTGCAGGGGCATCGTGTGCGATAAACGGCCATTAATCTGCCTGTCTTAGATGGGCGGACAGCACTATCCATATTGGCATTTCATACAGGAGCAGTAAATCCCCTGGAAGCGAGCAGCAGACTCGGCTCTGCCGGCCCCAAAGGCCTCATGGGAGCCAAGACGCCAGTCTCAGAGCGGGGGCTCTGCTTCGTGCAGACACTCAGGACTTCTCAAGTCCTGTGTTTTAGCTAAAGTTTCCCATCCCTGAGCACAGGCCAGAGGGGAAATAGCTGGGAAGGTTCTGAACGATCCCTCCTGCCAGTGAGAGTGAAGAGGCTAGGACAGCACCTCGCTCCACTGTACCCCAGACCCAGGCCAGGAACAAGACCCCACTGTGCTCTCATCTGTCCAGGCTCTCATGTGGCCTCCCTCGGGCAGCAGCTGAGCACCTGAGCCAGTGCAGTCCCGTTAACTGGACAGGGTGAAGCTGTGATGTGGCTGGAGGTCAGTGAGGAACAGGGAACACACTCGGTCTGGGGAAATGGGCCACCCTTAATTATAATGGCTCCAGAGCTGTAATAACCCAGGGCTCCCTTCCCCTTTGACAGCGTGTGATTCATTCACACAGCACAGCAACGTGCTCCTGCCCTGTCAGCAAAGGAGGTGCTGTTGTCATCATGAATAGGTCGGAATATGAACAAGAGGCTGCTCGGCAGCTCTCCAACACAAGTTTCTACAAGCCATTACCCTATGATCCCACTGAGAGTTACCAAAAGCAACTACAGCATTTGCTCAAGAAACTTCCTGAAAAAGCACAAGATCAAATCCGCACAGACACACCCCTGGAACCCCGACCTGGGATATTCTATCTACTACCCAAGATCCATAAACCTGGAAATCCTGGGCGCCCCATCATCTCAGGCATTGGCACCCTGACAGCAGGATTGTCTGGCTATGTAGACTCCTTCCTCAGGCCCTACGCTACCAGCACTCCCAGCTACCTTCGAAACACCACTGACTTCCTGAGGAAACTTCAATCCATCGGTGATATTCCTGATAACACCATCCTGGCCACTATGGATGTAGAAGCCGTCTACACCAACATTCCACACAAAGATGGACTACAAGCCGTCAAGAACACTATCCCCGATAATGTCACGGCTAACCTGGTGGCTGAACTTTGTGACTTTGTCCTTACCCATAACTATTTTACATTTGGGGATAATGTATACCTTCAGATCAGCGGCACTGCTATGGGTACCCGCATGGCCCCACAGTATGCCAACATTTTTATGGCTGATTTAGAACAACGCTTCCTCAGCTCTCATCCCCTAACGCCGCTACTCTACTTGCGCTATATTGATGACATCTTCATCATCTGGACCCATGGAAAAGAAGCCCTTGAGGAATTCCACCATGATTTCAACAACTTCCATCCCACCATCAACCTCAGCCTGGTCCAGTCCACACAAGAGATCCACTTCCTGGACACTACAGTACTAATAAACAATGGTCACATAAACACCACCCTATACCGGAAACCTACTGACCGCTATTCCTACCTACATGCCTCCAGCTTTCACCCAGACCACACCACATGGTCCATCGTCTACAGCCAAGCTCTGCGATACAACCGCATTTGCTCCAACCCCTCAGACAGAGACAAACACCTACAAGATCTCTGTCAAGCTTTCTTACAACTACAATACCCACCTGCGGAAGTGAAGAAACAGATTGATAGAGCCAGAAGAGTTCCCAGAAGTTACCTACTACAGGACAGGCCTAACAAAGAAAATAACAGAACGCCACTAGCCGTCACCTTCAGCCCCCAACTAAAACCCCTCCAACGCATTATTAAGGATCTACAACCTATCCTGAAGGATGACCCAACACTCTCACAAATCTTGGGAGACAGGCCAGTCCTTGCCTACAGACAGCCCCGCAACCTGAAGCAAATACTCACCAACAACCACATACCACACAACAGAACCACTAACCCAGGAACTTATCCTTGCAACAAAGCCCGTTGCCAACTGTGCCCACATATCTATTCAGGGGACACCATCACAGGGCCTAATAACATCAGCCACACTATCAGAGGCTCGTTCACCTGCACATCCACCAATGTGATATATGCCATCATGTGCCAGCAATGCCCCTCTGCCATTTACATTGGTCAAACTGGACAGTCTCTACGTAAAAGAATAAATGGACACAAATCAGATGTCAAGAATTATAACATTCATAAACCAGTCGGAGAACACTTCAATCTCTCTGGTCACGCAATCACAGACAAGAAGGTCGCTATCTTAAAACAAAAAAACTTCAAATCCAGACTCCAGCGAGAAACTGCTGAATTGGAATTCATTTGCAAATTGGATACTATTAATTTAGGCTTAAATAGAGACTGGGAGTGGCTAAGTCATTATGCAAGGTAGCCTATTTCCCCTTGTTTTTTCCTACCCCCCCCCCCAGACGTTCTGGTTAAACTTGGATTGAAACTTGGAGAGTGGTCAGTTTGGATGAGCTATTCCAGCAGGAGAGTGAGTTTGTGTGTGTGTGTGTGTCCCCGGGGAAAAAAAGAGAAAAAAAAGGGGGGGGGGTGAGAAAGCCTGGATTTGTGCTGGACATGGCCCACTTTGATTACCATGCACATTGTAGGGAGAGTGGTCACTTTGGATGAGCTATTACCAGCAGGAGAGTGAGTTTGTGTGTGGGAGGGTGGAGGGTGAGAAAACCTGGATTTGTGCTGGAAATGGCCCAACTTGATGATCACTTTAGATAAGCTATTACCAGCAGGACAGTGGGGTGGGAAGAGGTATTGTTTTATGATCTCTGTGTGTATATAAAGTCTGCTGCAGTTTCCATGGTATGCATCCGATGAAGTGAGCTGTAGCTCATGAAAGCTCATGCTCAAATAAATTGGTTAGTCTCTAAGGTGCCACAAGTACTCCTTTTCTTTTTACAAATGTAAGCAGAGTCAGGATGAGCTCCACCCTGACATCTGGTGGTGAGATGTGGCAAGTTGTGGAAAAGAACTTCAGGGGCCGATTTCATTTGCATAGGCACACCCACCCCGCCTAGAATGAGGCCATAGCTGCCCAAATGGTCACTTTGGCTGCTTTGGGATCCTCAATGTCTCTGTTATTGGGGCAGGAAGAATAAATTGTTATTACCCTGATTACAGGAACTGTGCTTGGCCTTTTGTTATGATGGAGGGACTCACCATCAACTAAGTAGCACTCACTAGGCAAGGGTCATGGGTTCCAAAACTCTGTGAATTGAGAGAGACTGGGGATAAGTATCAATAGTTGGTGGTATGGGTCTTTTAGGGAGTGCCTTACATGCTAATTGCACTTTCTCCTCTCTTCACTGTGGAATATCAGAGCTAATTTTGATTCTATTAGGAGTCTAGTTATAGGCTGCTGAGCTCACTTTAGGCTAATGGTGTACCAGTGTTGAGACTCCTCTTCTACAAGCTGAATTCACTAAAGAGTTGAACTGACTAAGAGCTGAAATCACTGAGTGTTGTGTTAAGTAGTGGGGGAGCCTGAGGATATATTGTGGAGCAGTTTGTGGGATGGCGGGAGCTGCTTATGGGTTGCGGAGTGGAGCCCTATGGAGCTGCAGGGCAGTCAGCTTCAGAGCATGTAAAGTGTCCCTTACCTCTCTTTCCACCCCCACCCCCCATCTCTACCCATGTTGGGAGGTAAAGCTCTGCAGATAAACTTTCGAACTCTGGGGCTGCCCTGACCAGGGATAGAGACTTTTGGGTCATTGGACTTTTGGTGATTTCAGGTTGCTGGACTCAAGAACCAAAGGGAAAGGACACGACCCAATTTGCTTGGGGTGGGTTTTTGCTCATGGGTTGTGTTATGAATCCTGTTGGTTGTGTTTCCCCAACATAATGCCACATTGTTTCTCTCTGTTATTAAAAGGCTTTTTGCCACACTCAGACTCTGTGCTTGCGAGAGGGGAAGTATTGCCTCTTGGAGGCTGTCAAGGTTCCTTCCCCACTCTGAACTCTAGGGTACAGATGTGGGGACCTGCATGAAAACCTCCTAAGCTTACTTTTACCAGCTTAGGTTAAAACTTCTCCAAGGTACAAATTAATTTTACCCTTTGCCCTGGGAATTTCCACTGCCATCACCAAACTTTAACTGGGTTTACTGGGAAACGTAGTTTGGACACGTCTTTCCCCCCAAATCCTCCCAACTCTTGCACCCCACTTCCTGGGGAAGGTTTGGTAGAAATCCTCACCAATTTCCATAGGTGACCACAGACCCAAACCTTTGGATCTGAGAACAATGAAAAAGCATTCAGTTTTCTTACAAGAAGACTTTTAATAGAAGTAAAGGAATCACCTCTGTAAAATCAGGATGGTAGATACCTTACAGGGTAATTAGATTCAAAACATAGAGAATCCCTCTAGGCAAAACCTTAAGTTACAAAAAAGATACACAGACAGGGATAGTCATTCTATTCAGCACAGTTCTTTTCTCAGCCATTTAAAGAAATCATAATCTAACACATACCTAGCTAGATTACTTACTAAAAGTTCTAAGACTCCATTCCTGTTCTGCCCCTAGCAAAAGCAGCATAAAGACAGCCACAGACCCTTTGTTTTTCTCCCTTCTCCCAGCTTTTGAAAGTATCTTGTCTCCTCATTGGTCAGTTTGGTCAGGTGCCAGTGAGGTTACCTTTAGCTTCTTAACCCTTTACAGGTGAGAGGATTTTTCCTCTGGCCAGGAGGGATTTTAAAGGGGTTTACCCTTCCCTTTATATTTATGACAGAGGCGCCCAGCGGGGGTGGTATATATTTGTCCCAGGTCACAAATGGGTGGGGGCTCGAGCCGGTTTTGCATTGTGTTGTTGGAATGGATCCCCTAGATATTGAACCCGGCCCTTGTTGCTGCCAACTCTGACGGGCAGAAGGGTTACACAAATCACTTCAGTATTGAATGTGGGGGTAATGAAATAGTGTTATCTTTACTGTATGAGTAAAGGGAAGCAGAGAAGCATTTAGCCCAGGGGTGGCCAACCTGTGGCTCCGGAGCCACATGCAGATCTTTAGAAGTTAATATACGGTTCCTTGTATAGGCACCGACTCCGGGGCTGGAACTGCAGACACCAACCTTTCAATGTGCCGGGGGGTGTTCACTGCTCAACCCCTGGCTCTGCCATGGGCCCTGCCCCCACTTCACCCTTCCCGCCCCTATCCCTGAGCCCGCCGTGCCCTCACTCCCCCCCCCAGAGCCTCCTGCACGCCACAGAACAGCTGATCGGGAGATGCAGGGAGGAGGGGGAGGCTCTGATCGACAGGGCTGCTGGTGGTTGGGAGGCGCTGAGAGCAGGGCAGGGGAGCTGATGCGGGGCTGCTGACATATTCCTGTGGCTCTTTGGCAAAGTACATTGGTAAATTCTGGCTCCTTCTCAGGCTCAGGTTGGCCACCCCTGGCTTAGCCTGTCCTGATTGAGGGTGTCACCCTCCCCTGAACTGATCTCATAAGCAGGGGGCTTGGATGCCAGACCCCTGTGACGTTAAGAGGAAGAGGGGGAGACAGATGTGCTTGCTGGGAAGTGTGGACTTTACCCAAGAGTCCTAGGCATGGTTTAACTTGCTCCTCTCCACTGTTCAAAGACAGAACTAATTAAGGCTCCATTTGGAGTCTTTTGTTTTGTTAAGTGATCACTAGAGCTGAAATCACTTGATGTGGGACAGCTTTTCTGCCCAGCCTGCTTCAGCAAGGACGTTCCCCCACTAAGAGTTGAAAATCACTAAGAGCAGCATAGAACCTCAAGAGACTAGGGTTTTGCGCAAAAGGGGACTTTTTCTGCTTTAAATTGCAAGTGTAGACAGGCCCTGATCTGCAGAGGTTATAGCAGAGAAGCAGGTGATGGCTGGCTGAGTGGCCAGTGGAGTGAGACAGTGGGGTGTGCGGTAGGGTGGTGACCCTTAGAGCAAGTGCTTGGACCAGGGCCGTCCCTAGCCATTTGGGTGCCCTACGCAGCCCCCCTGTGGGAGGGGGTGTGGGGGGCCCCAGGCCACCCCCCCCAGGGTATGGATGGCAGGAGCTGTGGGGGGCCACTTTTGGGGGCCCCATAGGCCCAGAGTGGCCCGGGAGGAGCCCGCCCCGCTTCCCTTGTCCCGGCCCTAGCCATGTCGCTCGGGTTGGGGAAAGGATCGCCTCCCGCTCTCACCGGCGGCGGGAAGCAGAGCGCCGTGGCTGGGATCTGGCGGAGTAGATCGGGCTGGGGCCCAGCTGCTCCACTTCCCGCCACTGCTGGTGAGTGCGGGGTTGCTGGGGGAAGAGGTGGAATGGGGGCGGGCCGGGGGCAGAGCAGGAGGGAAGGGTAAGAGGCAGGGTGGAGGGAGTTGTCCGGAGTCCCACACCCCTGTAGGAAAGGCCCTGCCCCTTGCAGTGGGCGCAGCCCGCGGGGGGCTGGCTGAGGGATAGGGCTGGTTGCCGGGGCTGGTGCTGCCAAGTATGCAGCATGCAGCTGCCTAGGGCACCATTAAATTTGGGGCAATTTGGTGCCCCAAATTTCATGGTGCCCTACGCAGCTGCGTATGCCTAAGGACGGCCCTGGCTTGGACACTGGAGCAAGCAAGGTGCCATCTTCGTCCTCCCCCCCCAACCAGGGTGGGAGCTGAGCTCACACAGATGCATCTCTGAACCCTGAGTCTTCACTGACCAAGGACAGCCACTGTGAGTGGGGTGGGGTGAGGGAGCAGAGAGGGGCAGAGCAAAGGAACTTTTGGTTGTAGAACTCCAGAACATGAGGCAGAAGACACTGACCAACGTACACTGGAGAGGGTGTTTTGCTCATGGTTTTATGTTTATGAATCCTGCGTGTGGCATTTTCCTTAATTAATGCCGGTGACTTCCCTCCTCTCATTTAAAGTTTCTTTTCTACCATCGGCACCAACTCTGTGGGTGCTCCAGGGCTGGAGCAACCATGGAATAAAAATAGTGGGTGCTCAGCACCTACTGGCAGCCCCGCCGATCAGCTCTTCCCCTGCCCCCCAACGTCTCCTGCCTGCTGGAGACCCTGAGATCAGCTCCTGCCCCGTCCTCCCAGCGCCTCCCACCTGCCACAGATCAGCTGTTCAGAAGCTGTTCCCAGAAGCTGGGAATGGGCGACAGGGGATGGATCACTTGATGATCACCTGTTCTGTTCATTCCCTCTGGGGCACCTGGCATTGGCCACTGTCGGAAGACAGGATACTGGGCTAGATGGACCTTTGGTCCGACAGGGGATGGCTGTTCTTATGGTCTTATGTTCTTGCTGCCCACTCCACCTGGCAGACGGGTTGCAGGTGCACAAAGAGCCGTCAGCCCTGTTCCCTCTATTACGTGTTGGAACTTGCAGTGTTGGAGAAAAAAAAGTTTGGATATTTTCCCATTATCCACAACTCCCAGTGCTCATCCCCTCTGAAAACCAGGCCCCTTTCCTTTAGGTGCCTAACCTTAGGCAGCCAGGGGTGAATGTTTGTCCTTGTATTGATGGGGGATAAACCTGGTGTCCTTAAGGGGTTTAATTAAGCAAAGTCAACAGCATTTCCTACCTTGTACTCCTGGGCAGCCTCCTCAATGGGAACCACAGTGTGAGACTTGTGGTCCCGGGATTTCTCACACACCCAGCAAATAGTTTCTCCATCCTCCTCACAGAAGAGTTTGAGACGTTCCTCGTGTCTCTCACACAGATCCTCCTTTTGCCCTTTTCCTGGTTTTAACCCCAGTTGTTTGATCCTTTGTATGATGTTGTTCAGCTGGGCGTTGGGCTTGAACTCCCCTTTTTGGAACTGGGCTCTGCACTGGGGACAGGTCAGGGGTGTCCCCGTTCCCTTCTCCTCACTGTACCGGGTGAGGCAGGCTCGGCAGAAGTTGTGCCCACACGCGATAGTCACCGGCTCCGTCAGATATTCCAGGCAGATGGAGCAAATAGCTTCATCTTGTATTTCCCCTGCTGTAGCTGCAGTGGCCATGGCAGCTGGGTGAGTATCTGTTCTCCCTGCCCGTGGCTCTACACAGTGTGGGCTTGTGCTGACACTGGGAGGGGCCGCCTGCAAGTATCTGCTAGTCCCAGCCACAGAAGGAGAAGAAGAAAAAGGAGGAGCCAGGAGCGGGAGGGGGAGAAAACAGGAAAGTGAAACTGAAGGAGAGTAAAAGAGGGGGAAGGACAGGGAGAGGGCAGGAGAGAAGGAATGGATGGAGGTGGGGAGAAGGGATGGGAGAACAGGGGGGCAATGAAGAGAGGGGGAAGAATATGAACCAATCTGAAGTGTATTGCTTGTCACATAGGCTGGAAGGGAGAGCATATCCTCTGCCCCACAGGCAGGAACTGCTTCACCCATCCCAACACTCACTGGGGATTGAAGTGGGGACCGACAGCGCTTAGCACAAGTCTCTACAGCTGGAGCTAAAGAGTCAGTTTGTGAAGTTCAGAGCTGTAAAAACCCATAAACCCTGTGGGTCAGCCATCAAGGGGGGTGTGAATGACACACACTCACCAGAGGGTTACAAGTGCACTGAGGGATTTTTCGGCTCCCTCAGGAGAGAAGGGGGTGTCACAAAGCTCAGGTAGAAAGTTAGGGTTATGGATGCTTTGGAAATTTCTGTAAATATAAATGCTACAGGACACTAAGGATTCAAAGCCCCTGCCATTTTGAACCTCACTTTGCTTTGTGTGGCAAGCTTTGGCCAAATTCTCCTGTCCTTTAGACAGTGGAAACCGAAGACCATTTAGGTTATGTCTACACTACGCAGCTGTTTGCGACAAGGCTGTGTCGACAAAGCGCCGTTTACACTTGCACTTGCCACAGCAAAACTTTTGTCGTTCAGTTGCAAGTGTAGCCTAAGCTACAGCCCCTGAGCTCTGCCTTGCCTGCAGTGAGGGCACTCTGCAGGCAGGCCGTACAGCGCAGGCTGGCACTGCGTGATGGCACAGCTGAGATTCAATTCCATGCAGAGAACGACATTAAAAAAAAGTTCCGGTGGCGAAGTCAAGCATGTAAACACTGTGAAGTGCCAGAATTAAGGTGCCTGAACAGCCAGATCACCAGCCTCAAGAGTCGACAGCTCAGGTTGGAGCATCAGAGGCAGGATTTTTAGTGCAGTCACAGTAGCTTTATTTCTCTGTGGGCTCCATGGGAGTGTTGACATTGACTCCGATAGAAGCAAGATCAAGCCCTATATAGGCAACCTGGGGGCTTGGGGCCAACTGCTAGAAAGGTCCAGGTGCTGCACCTTGGTTTCTGCTGCATTGTTTTCCCAGAAGCCATTGGTGTCCAGACTTTTTGGCTTACTCTGACAAGCTACAGTTGATCTCATTTTGAAGGTACAGCCTGAGCCTCTCCATTTTGATGGCACAGTCTGGGGACACACATTGTCAGGCTGTAGGAGGATTCGGGTTTTATCTTTGACCCCTGCCCCTCGTAGTTTATGCAGCTGTAGCCATGGATCTCAGCATGCTCAGAGCTGCACACCTCAGGGGGGCATGGGAAGGAAATGCCTTGGGGACGTTCCCCTCTGGGAGCCCCATGACCCGCTCCTGGGGGCACACAGATCCCAGAGCTCTTCGGCTTCGTTGGAGGAATTTACAGTGTCTGCTATGACTTGGAAAGCTGCACATCTCTTCAGCTACCTGCTAAGAGCATCCTGACCATTAACAGCAAGTCGTTGCTGATGTCTGGCTCACAGGCCAGAGAGCCCATCTAGTGGGTTGTAAAGAATGAGACATGGGAGGAGCACAGACATGACGAGAAGTTCATACCAGGGTGGTTTGATCAGGGGTTCATGGGCGCACTGACGCCCGCAAAAACCCTGCAGTGATGTCTTCTGTCCCACAGGGCTGGGCTTGGCTCCCTGCTGTGGGTGTTGTGACCTGGGGGCTCTGATCACTTGCAGCAACACCTTCCACCTCTGCACTGTGACCCTAAACCCAGCCTGGTGGAAAGGGACAATGGGGGGAGGGGCTATAGTGTGAGCCTGCCCCTCACTCAGCCTGCAATGGGGAGCCAGGCACAGCCCCATGGGACAGGACACAGCACTGCAGAATGAGTGTGGGCTGGGCTCACTCTCCAGCCCCCTGCCCTCTGGCCTCCCCTCGGCACTTGGCTAGGATTGGGGCTGCGGTGCTGAGGCAGAAGGTGCTGTTGTGGTTGGTCTGAGCCCCCTCAGTGGGCTGAGGAGGAGGAAGAGGCAGTGGCAGGGAAGCGTACCCATTGAATCGGGAGACTCCCTCCACCTCTGGTTCACACAGACAAATGTTTCCCTGGGACTCCACAGCTCCAAACTGATGGGGGTCCTTTCACTTCCTCGATACACACTGTGCAAGCAGAAGGAGAGGGGGGGTCCGTGACTACACCTTCTCCAACCTACTTCAAGCTGCTGCTTGATACGGGATCCTCGCAGGGAGCAGGGCCGGCACTCCCCAGTGGGGCTGGCCAGAGTCTGACTCCGAGCTCTTCAGCTGTAAGACTCAGAATTGACCCATGCAGAATTTGCACTTTCAGAAGTGGGACAAAGAGCTAAAGTGAGGTACCCACGTTACAAACAAAGGAGGCTTCAAATTGCAAGTGAGATGGAATCTACCCCTTGGTGAATCCGAGGTGCTCTCGACCTTCAGCTCCTTAATGCCAGATGGTGACCAGCCACTGCACAGGGGTGAAAAGTGGAGGGAAGGTTTCAAAGCCTTTCCCACCACCTGACACCTTCTGTGCAGGGGCCAGTCACACGAGCGTTCCTGGTGCTCAGGCAAGCACACAAGCTGAAACCCCATGGCAGTGGGGAGGACTTGGGGCCACAGCAATTGTTGCACTGCAGAGCTGGCCGGCCATGATGGCGGTGGGAGGAAGGGGGGGCACACTGCAGCATCTCAGACACTTCTGTGACTGGGGGAGATCCAGGAGGCAATATCTCCTGCTGCCCCCATGGGCTGGTGCGGCTGTGCACCACCCCCAGGACAGCCATTGATTCACTGCTACTGTTGTCTCTTAGTGCGCCCAAGAGGACTCCAGGCTTAGGAAGAGGGCACCAGGGAATCCAGGGTTATTTCAGATCATTCAAGAGATCTGGAGCTGAATGAAAGAAGTCTCTGTCATATCCCTGCTTAAAGATTACCTACTATTTTATTATTTCCCTTTCATTTTCTCTTATTACTGAGCTAATTTCCTTGGAAACTAGCTGTGATCACATGAAAGACCTGACAGAAACCATTTCTGGTTCTGTGAGTTGAGTTTGCCACAATTAAAACTGAAATCACCACCTGCCAACCGGGAATGGGATAGGTCGTGAACATTTGACTCTCAAGTAATAAAGCAGGGAAGTTTTACCGTAAAGTCACTCTTATCAGTTCCAGTTGCATTGCTCACTATTTACTTGCTGACATTTTCATTTCCATGGTGAAACAGGTGAATTTACTTAGCTGCCCCTTTTCCCAGAAATACCAATGCAAACTAGACAGAACTGGTGTCTAAGATTGCAGGCAATAGGATACCCTAAAGGCTACATGGCATTGTGGTTGTTACATGCCAGCCTAGTGAGCCATTGTACAGTCACTCGTCTGTTGTGAGTGAACTGAATTACTGGGTCTCCTATACTTCTGAGCCAACTGGCTCTGGGCAGAGTCTAGTCACTATATCCAGCCCTGGGACTCTAGGGCTCACTCCTGGGTTCAGACCATTTATCTACTGTCCTCCCTTAGGATGTGGGGATCTGTCAGCAGCTTCCTAAGACTCTGAAACCAGCGTTTGAGCCCCTCTAGCCTCCACATCACTTACACACAAGCTCTCAGAACTCCCCCTAGGCTGTGGGCACCCCGGACTTACACGTTAACCATTTCAGAAACAATGTGGAGGGGAAGCAAGGCACACAGGCTTAGCAAAGGAATTTCTTAACCACAGAGTCTTTACTCATAAAGCACAGTTGAGTAATATAACAACTGTCATGATAACTATGCCAGAGATGCGCCCTCCTGTAGTCTGAGTTCACCCCTTCTTGTACGTCGGTGGTTTGTCAGTGTTTCACGCTGGCCAATGTTGCCCCTGCCCTCCTTCTCCTTCTTTCATGTGGCAATGGTCAGCCCCCTTGCAGAGAAGGCCCCCCCACCCCTGAATAGGGCCATTGTGTCTCTGCAATGTGCTTGATCTCCCCACCAGGGCCATCCTTAGGATTTATGGGCCCTATGCAATATTATTAAACTGGTGCCCCTAAACCGGCACATTCGGCTCTGTGAATACAGCCCCGGCCTTCTGCCTTGGAAGGAGACTGCCGCGTGCACTGGGTGTGCAGGACCAGATCCACTCTTGCCTGCTGTCCCGGTCATAGGCGCGGACTCCAGGGCTGGAGCATTCACAGGGAATTTTAGTGGGTGTGGAGCACCCACCAGCGCAAAGCTCCCCCTTCTGCCTCCCTTCCCCAACACCTCTTGCGTGCTGGCAGCCCCACACTTACCAACTCCTCCCCCCCCCCCACAATGTTTCCAGAGCACCGTGAACAGCTGATTCACATGTTCAAGCTCTGTGAGGGAGGGGGAGGAGGCGGGGCGGGGTGGAGCAGGGGCAGGGGTTTGGGGGAAGGAGTGGAAGGGGGTGGGGCCTGGAGTGGAGTGTGGGGGGCTCAAGCATCCCCTGGCAAGATGAGAAGTCAGCCCCTATGGTCCTAGTGGTGCCCCAAATTTTCAGGTGCCCTACACAGCTGCGTATGCTGCACATGCCTAAGGATGGCCCTGCTCCCCACTGGTCAATCTGTGTACTTCCTAACAGCCACTCATGCTTGTCCCCCAGCTTCTGTATAGAAATTCTTCTACTCCATAGAGATGGGTCAGTAGCTTTGAGTCATTCAAAGTTGATGGCCCCAGACTGCAGCCTTTATTGATCTCAGCGATGGTCCTTCAATGAAGTATCAAATGCCTTTCCCAGGCAGGGTAGCCTTCTGGAAGGCAGCACTATAAACTGCCCCAGGAAAGTCCAAACTAGTAGAGTTTGAAAGTTAACCCTTCAGCACACAGTGATCTTTCTGTAGTTAATAAATCAGTTTTATATTTTATCTAAAACAGTGTGTTTTGGTTGAAGTGCTTGGGAAATCTCAGGTCAGTTTACAAAGGCTAGTTAGTGTGTGTCCTGTCCACATCGAGGGAGGGTCGGACTGGGTGAAATGAACTGACTGGCCAGGCTTCTGTGCAAGATGGTAAAGTTCTGGGGTGCAAAGCTGAGGAGCTGGGGGGAATCGTCTGGAGCCTCTCTATTGTTGGTTCATGAGTTGCTCGCAAAAGCATTCATGTAACTCGGTTGGGTGAGTCCCTGCCGGTGGATGGCAGAGTAAGGGCAGCACCTGCCAGAGCTTTGTAGCTTCTCATCGGCATCACAGTGTGAGGGGAAGCTCAGGTTGGTGGGTCAGAGGGCTCAGCATTCCCATAGTCTGGGGACCCCGTCACAGGGATTAACACGCCCATCTGAGCGGTGGGAGACACACAATTCAAATACTTCCTGGTAGGGAGGTGGGACTGACCTTGGGTTCCCCATATTCCAGCTCAGGGCTTTAACCACTGGGCTAGAAGTTATAAGGTGGGCACCACCACCTCTTCCATTGGACAGCTGTTTGAATGGGACCCAATCTGGTAGCCATGCTGGGAGGATCAGGCCTCACGTGCAAGATCGGCAGCTGAATGCCAATCTTCCCTGGTCCATGACTCACTTGTGCGCTTAGGTGGGAGACAAGCCCCTCACGCTCCCAGAATGGGGCAGCGGTGTCTGGCCCCTTTATTTTTTTCCAAGACAATAGGCTCAGTCCAGTGAGAACAAGGGAGAAAAATTGCATTTCAAAATTAAGGGGAAAAGTTATCAACACCCTAGTTAATGTCTAGTTCTACCCACCATTCCCAGGGGATTCTAACCACACACTAACCCACAGAAAGCTTCCTACCAACACTACAAAAAGAGAGAATCTGCGTGGACTCCTCCTGAAGGTTGAAACAACAGACTGGACTTCTACATAGAGTGCTTCCGCCAACGTGCATGGGCTGAAATTGTGGAAAAGCAGCATCACTTGGCCCATAACCTCAGCCGTGCCGAACACAACGCCATCAACAGTCTCAGGAACAACTCTGACATTATAATCAAAAAGGCTGACAAAGGAGGTGCTGTCGTCATCATGAATAGGTCAGAATATGAACGAGAGGCTGCTAGACAAATCTCTGACACCACATTCTACAGGCCATTACCCTCTGACCCCACTGAGGATTACCAAAAGAAACTACACCATCTGCTCAAGAAACTCCCTAAAGAAGCACAGGAACAAATCTACACGGACACACCCCTAGAGCCCCAACCAGGGGTATTCTATCTGCTACCCAAAATCCATAATCCTGGGAATCCTGGATGCCCCATCATCTCAGGCATTGGCACCCTGACAGCAGGATTGTCTGGCTATGTAGTCTCTCTCCTCAGGCCCTACGCTACCAGCACTCCCAGCTAACTTTGAGACATCACTGACTTCCTGAGGAAACTACAATCCATCAGTGATCTTCCAGAAAACACCATTCTGGCCACGATGGATGTAGAAGCCCTCTACACCAACATTCCAAACATAGATGGACTACAAGCCATCAGGAATAGCATCCCCGATACTATCACGGCAAACCTGGTGGCTGAACTTTGTGACTTTGTCCTCATCCACAACTATTTCAGATTTGGGGACAATTTATACCTTCAAGTCAGCGGGATTGCTATGGGTACCCGGATGGCCCCACAGTATGTCCACATTTTTATGGCTGACTTAGAACAACGCTTCCTCAGCTTTTGTCCCCTAACGCCCCTACTCCACTTGTGCTACATTGATGGCATCTTCATCACCTGGACCCATGGGAAGGAGGCCCTTGAGGAATTCCACCAGGATTTCAGCAATTTCCACCCCACCGTCAACCTCAGCCTGGACCAGTCCACACAAGAGGTCTACTTCCTAGATACTACAGTGCTAATAAGCGATGGTCACGTAAACACCACCCTACTGTCTGCTATACTTACCTACATGCCTCCAGCTTTCATCCAGACCAAATCCCACGATCCATTTTCTACAGCCAAGCTCTAAGATACAACTGCATTTTCTCCAATCCCTCAGACAGAGACAAACATCTACAGGATCTCTATCCAGCATTCTTAAAACTACAATACTCACCTTTTGAAATGAAGAAACAGATTGACAGAGCCAGAAGGGTACCCAGAAGTCACCTACTACAAGACAGGCCCAACAAAGAAAGGAACAGAATGCCACTAGCCGTCACCTACAGCCCCCAACTAAAAGCTCTCCAGCACATCATCAATGATCTGCAACCTATCCTGAAGGACAATCCCTCACTCTCACAGACTTTGGGAGACAGGCCAGTCCTCACTTACAGACAGCCCCCCCAGCCTAAAGCAAATACTCACCAGCAACTACACACCACACAACAAAAACACTAACCCAGCAACCAAACCCTGCAACAAACCCCGGTGCCAATTCTGTCCACATACATATTCAAGGGACACCACTATAGGACCTAACCACAGCAGCCACACCATCAAGGGCTCTGTCATAAATATAAAGGGAAGGGTAACCACCTTTCTGTATAAAGTGCTATAAAATCCCTCCTGGCCAGGGCAACATCCTGTTACCTGTAAAGGGTTAAGAAGCTCAGCTAACCTGGCTGGCACCTGACCCAAAGGACCAATAAGGGGACAAGATACTTTCAAATCTTGGGGGGCAGGGGGGGCAGGGGAAGGCTTTTGTTTTGTGCTCTTTGTTTACGTGTTTGTTCTCTTTTGGGACTGAGAGAGGCCAGACAGAAATCCATCTTCTCCAACCCATCCTAATCCAAGTCTCCAATATTGCAACCAGTATAGGTAAGCCAGGCGAGGCGGATTCATTTATCTTTTGTTTTATGTGAATTTTCCCTGTGTTAAGAGGGAGGTTTATTCGTTTTCTGTAACTTTAAGGTTTTGCCCAGAGGGGGATCCTCTGTGTTTTGAATTTGAATGCCCTGTAAAGTATTTTCCATCCTGATTTTATAGAGATGATTTTTACCTTTCTTTTTTTTTAATAAAATCCTTCTTTTAAGAACCTGACTGATTTTTTCAATTGTTCCAAGATCCAGGGGTTCGGGTCTTTGATGATTTTGTAACCAATTGGTTAGGATATTATTCTCAAGCCTCCCCAGGAAAGGGGTATGTAGGGCTTGGGAGGATATTTTGGGGGAAGACGTCTCCAAGTGGTCTCTTTCCCTGTTCTTTGTTTAAAACGCTCGGTGGTGGCAGTATACTGTTCAAGGACAAGGCAAAGTTTGTACCTTGGGGAAGTTTTTAACCTAAGCTGGTAAGAATAAGCTTAGGGGGTCTTTCATGCGGGTTCCCACATCTGTACCTGAGAGTTCAGAGTGGGGAAGGAACCCTGACAGGCTCATTCACCTGCACATCTACCAATGTGATCTATGCCATCATGTGCCAGCAATGCCCCTCGGCCATGTACATTGGCCAAACTGGACAGTCTCTATGCAAAAGAATAAATGGACACAAATCTGACATCCGGAATTATAACATTCAAAAACCAGCAGGAGAACACTTCAATCTCCCTGGTCACTCAATAACAGCAATAAAATTGGCAATTCTTCAACAAAAAAGCGCTTAGCTTTTCCCAGAAGCCACCGGTGTCCAGACTTTTTGGCTTACTCTGACAAGCTACAGTTGATCTCATTTTGAAGGTACAGCCTGAGTGTCTCCGTTTTGATGGCACAGTCTGGGGACACACATTGTCAGGCTGTAGGAGGATTCGGGTTTTATCTTTGACCCCTGCCCCTCGTAGTTTATGCAGCTGTAGCCATGGATCTCAGCATGCTCAGAGCTGCACACCTCAGGGGGTCATGGGAAGGAAATGGCTTGGGGACGTTCCCCTCTGGGAGCCCCATGACCCGCTCCTGGGGGCACGCAGATCCCAGAGCTCTTCGGCTTGGTTGGAGGAATTTATGGTGTCTGCCATGACTCGGAAAGCTGCACATCTCTTCAGATACCCACTAAGAGCATCCCGACTGCAAACAGCAAGCGTTGCTGATGTCTGGCTCACAGGCCAGAGAGCCCATCTAGTGGGTTGTAAAGAATGAGACATGGGAGGAGCACAGACATGAGGAGAAGTTCATACCAGGGTGGTTTGAGCAGGGGTTCACGGGCGCACTGACACCCACAAAAACCCTGCAGTGGTCTCTTCTGTCCCACAGGGCTGGGCCTGGCTCCCTGCTGTGGGTGTTGTGACCTGGGGGTTCTGACTACTTGCAGCAACACCTTCCACCTCTGCACTGTGACCCTAAACCCAGCCTGATGGAAAGGGGCAATGGGGGGAGCGGCTGTAGAGTGAGCCTGTCCCACACTCAGCCTGCAATGGGGAGTCAGGCACAGCCCCATGGGACAGGACACAGCACTGCAGGATGAGTGTGGGCTGGGCTCACTCTCCAGCCCCCTGCCCTCTGGCCTCCCCTTGGCATTTGGCGGGGATTGGGGCTGCGGTGCTGAGGCAGCAGGTGCTGCTGTGGCTGGTCTATGCCCCCTCAGTGGGCTGAGGAGGAGGAGGAAGGGGCAGTGGCAGGGAAGAGCAACCCATTGAATCGGGAGGCTCCCTCCACCACTGGCTCACACAGACAAATGTTTCCCTGGGACTCCACAGCTCCAAACTGATGGGGGTCCTTTAACTTCCTCGATACACGCTGTGCAAGCAGAAGGGGGGGGGGTGTGACTCCACGTTCTCCAACCTACTTCAAGCCGCTGCTTGATACGGGATCCTCGCAGGGAGCAGGGCCGGCACTCCCCAGTGGGGCTGGCCAGAGTCTGACTCCGAGCTCTTCAGCTGTAAGACTCAGAACTGACCCATGCAGAATCTGCACTTTCAGAAGTGGGACAAAGAGCTAAAGTGAGGTACCCTCATTACAAACAAAGGAGGCTTCAAATTGCAAGTGAGATGGAATCTGCCCCTTGGTGAATCCGAGGTGCTCTCGACCTTCAGCTCCTTAGTGCCAGATGGTGACCAGCCACTGCAAAGGGGTGAAGAGTGGAGGGAAGGTTTCAGAGCCTTTCCCACCACCTGACACCTTCTGTGCAGGGGCCAGTCACATGAGCGTTCCTGGTGCTCAGGCAAGCACACAAGCTGAAACCCCATGGCAGTGGGGAGGACTTGGGGCCACAGCAATTGTTGCACTGCAGAGCTGGCCGGCCATGATGGCGGTGGGTGGGAGGGGGGGCACACTGCAGCATCTCAGACACTTCTGTGACTGGGGGAGATCCAGGAGGCAATATCTCCTGCAGCCCCTTGGGCTGGTGCAGCTGTGCACCACCGCCAGGACAGCCATTGATTCACTGTTACTGTTGTCTCTTAGTGCGCCCAAGAGGACTCCAGGCTTAGGAAGAGGGCACCAGGGAATCCAGGGTTATTTCAGATCATTCAAGAGAGCTGGAGCTGAATGAAAGAAGTCTCTGTCATATCCCTGCTTAAAGATTTTATTATTTCCCTTTCATTTTCTCTTATTACAGAGCTAATTTTTCTTGGAAACTAGCTGTGATCACATGAAAGACCTGACAGAAACCATTTCTGGTTCTGTGAGTTGAGTTTGCCACAATTAAAACTGAAATCACCACCTGCCATCTGGGAATGGGATAAGCCGTGAACATTAGACTTTCAAGTAATAAAGCAGAGAAGTTTTACCATTAAAGTCACTCTTATCAGTTCCAGTTGCATTGCTCACTATTTACTTGCTGACATTTTCATTTCCATGGTGAAACAGGTGAATTTACTTAGCTGCCCCTTTTCCCAGAAATACCAATGCAAACTAGACAGAACTGGTGTCTAAGATTGCAGGCAATAGGATACCCTAAAGGCTACATGGCATTGTGGTTGTTACATGCCAGCCTAGTGAGCCATTGTACAGTCACTCGTCTGTTGTGAGTGAACTGAATTACTGGGTCTCCTATACTTCTGAGCCAACTGGCTCTGGGCAGAGTCTAGTCACTATATCCAGCCCTGGGACTCTAGGGCTCACTCCTGGGCTCAGACCATTTATCTACTGTCCTCCCTTAGGATGTGGGGGATCTGTCAGCAGCTTCCTAAGACTCTGAAACCAGCGTCTGAGCCCCTCTAGCCTCCACGTCACTTACACACACGCCCTCAGAACTCCCCCTAGGCTGTGGGCACCCCGGACTTACACGTTAACCATTTCAGAAACAATGTGGAGGGGAAGCAAGGCACACAGGCTTAGCAAAGGAATTTCTTAACCACAGAGTCTTTACTCATAAAGCACAGTTGAGTAATATAACAAGTCCAGAGATGCGCCCTCCTGTAGTCTGAGTTCACCCCTTCTTGTACGTCGGTGGTTTGTCAGTGTTTCAGGCTGGCCAATGTTGCCCCTGCCCTCCTTCTCCTTCTTTCATGTGGCAATGGTCAGCCCCCTTGCAGAGAAGGCCCCCCACCCTTGAATAGGGCCATTGTGTCTGTGCAATGTGCTTGATCTGCCCACCAGGGCCATCCTTAGGATTTATGGGCCCTATGCAATATTATTAAACTGGTGCCCCTAAACCGGCACATTCGGCTCTGTGAATACGGCCCCGGCCTTCTGCCTCGGAAGGAGACTGTGCACTGGGTGTGCAGGAGCAGACCCGCTCTTGCCTGCTGTCCTGGTCATAGGTGCGGACTCCATGGCTGGAGCATCCACAGGGAAATTTTAGTGGGTGTGGAGCACCCACCAGCGCAAAGCTCCCCCCTTCTGCCTCCCTTCCCCAACACCTCTTGCGTGCTGGCAGCCCCACACTTACCAACTCCCCCCCCCCCCAATGTTTCCAGAGCACCGTGAACAGCTGATTCACATGTTCAAGCTCTGTGAGGGAGGGGGGAGGAGGCGGGGCGGGGGTGGAGCAGGGGCAGGGGTTTGGGGGAAGGAGTGGAGGGGGCGGGGCCTGGAGTGGAGTGTGGGGGGCTCAAGCATCCCCTGGCAAGATGAGAAGTCAGCCCCTATGGTCCTAGTGGTGCCCCAAATTTTCAGGTGCCCTACACAGCTGCGTATGCTGCACATGCCTAAGGATGGCCCTGCTCCCCACTGGTCAATCTGTGTACTTCCTAACAGCCACTCATGCTTGTCCCCCAGCTTCTGTATAGAAATTCTTCTACTCCATAGAGATGGGTCAGTAGCTTTGAGTCATTCAAAGTTGATGGCCCCAGACTGCAGCCTTTATTGATCTCAGCGATGGTCCTTCAATGCAGTATCAAATGGCTTTCCCAGGCAGGGTAGCCTTCTGGAAGGCAGCACTATAAACTGCCCCAGGAAAGTCCAAACTAGTAGAGTTTGAAAGTTAACCCTTCAGCACACAGTGATCTTTCTGTAGTTAATAAATCAGTTTTATATTTTATCTAAAACAGTGTGTTTTGGTTGAAGTGCTTGGGAAATCTCAGGTCAGTTTACAAAGGCTAGTTAGTGTGTGTCCTGTCCACATCGAGGGAGGGGCGGACTGGGTGAAATGAACTGACTCTGGCCAGGCTTCTGTGCAAGATGGTAAAGTTCTGGGGTGCAAGGCTGAGGAGCTGCGTCAATCAGCTGGAGCCTCTCTATTGTTGGTTCATGAGTTGCTCGCAAAAGCATTCGTGTAACTCGGTTGGGTGAGTCCCTGCCGGTGGATGGCAGAGTAAGGGCAGCACCTGCCAGAGCTTTGTAGCTTCTCATCGGCATCACAGTGTGAGGGGAAGCTCAGGTTGGTGGGTCAGAGGGCTCAGCATTCCCATAGTCTGGGGACCCCATCACAGTGATTAACACGCCCATCTGAGTGGTGGGAGACACAGGGTTCAAATACTTCCTGGTAGGGAGGTGGGACTGAATTTGGTTCCCCATATTCCAGCGCAGTGCTTTAACCACTGGGATAGACGTGATAAGGTGGGCACCACTATCTCTTCCATTGGACAACTGCTTGAACGGGACCCAATCTGGTAGGCATGCTGGGAGGATCAGGCCCCATATGTGAAATTGGCAGCTGAATGCCAATCTTCCCTGGTCCATGACTCACTTGGGGGCTTAGGTGGGAGATAGGCATCTCACGCTCCTAGAATGGGGCAGCAGTGTACACGGCCAGAGGCAGAAACACAGGTGCCAAGGGAACTTGTACCCTGAAAACAGGACATGCATCTTCCCCTTTCTGAACCCCAGCGCCTGCACCCTGTCCCTGATTTCGCCCATCTGCCCCTCTCCTTCCCTCCCTCGTGCTCCCTGTTTCACTCTCCTCTGGACTCCTTTTGGCTCCTACACAAATTCTGCCCATCCCACCCCTCTCATTTTCCTGTGTTAGCCCCCTTTTATTGCAGGAAGCAGATTTTTGTCTCAAATGAGGGCAGAGTGAGGGCAGTGGCTTCAGGGGATGATTTATTATTATTATTCAAAGACTTTTATTCAATTAATCTTGAAAAGACTTTGGATTCTTAAAGGTTCAATCGTGATCATAGGTGCTTCTCAGCTTCTAGGACAGTGATGGAGTCATAACAGAGGATTCCTCTTAGGGTGTGCATGGGAGGGCTGCTCCCTGGACAATGACAGACCACATATAGCAAGGGAGGGAGATAGAGCCTGCATCTGCACTGCCAGATTCTGTTTCCTACTGGTCCCTTGATGTTCAAGCCCCCACCCCCCACTATCCCGGGGTCCCACATTCTTACAAGGAACCCCTTGGGTTAGATGTTAACAGATGTTTTGCTGTGTGTGTGTTCCCTTCGTATGCTGCCCCAGCCTTGTGCAGACAGCTAGCATGGCAGATGTTGAGCGAACCACCCAATGACCACAAATTCCGTTAAGGGACGAAGGAACCAGGCTAGGTTTATTGTCGACAAAGCACGGTAATAGCACCTGGCAGCCTCTATGAGGATACTATGACTTGTATGCCCACCACTATGGATGCAGCTCAGTAAGTGGCGGGACTTTCCACTGCCACCTAGGCCGGCCAAAGATACTCCCTCTGAGACACAGCTTTATACAGTACCGGATTTACCATAGCGCCGGGCCCAAGCTCAGAAGGGGCCCCATGACATTTACTTCCTCCCCTCTCACAGCGCTGCAGAAGCCGAACCTCAGAGCAGCAGGTATCTAGCATGGGAGCTGAGAACCCACGGGGCCCTGGGAACTGTAGTTGCTTGGCCAGCTCCCTGCCAATAGAGCCGGCCCTGGAGCAGGGAAGGAACTACATTTCCCAGCTATCCCTTGGCAGCTATCAACAGGTACGGGAGGGCGGAAGCTGAGACCCCATGCACTGCAGCTGATTGTGAATGGAGAGCTGGCTGCTAGAAGGGGGTGGCACTTTGAATGGGGTACAAGTATGCCCAAGGAGTCAAAGGCTTTTGGCCCAGATATCACTTCCCCAGACTGGATTAGCGATGCTTGTGTGACCTCGCCTGGCAGCCCCCAAAGAAGGAACTGGGTGGACTAAATGGACAGTGCACCTCTCCATCAGAAGCCTAGCAGGGGAGGTATGTGGATCCCACCAGGAGAAGTTAAAATGAAAAGGAAGGGAGGGGAGGCTCTACTAGAAGACCTGGGCAGCTTTAGATACAGCAAAGGAGGATTTCTACGTCTGAGCCATGAAAGCAGAAATTGACTTTTCCTTTCCAGATTCATCTAATAGTGAGAAAAGTAATCTTGCACATGCTTTCCAGATTTGAACACCCTCAAAATTCAGGACTGCTCAAGCTCAATTTTGGCCGCTGTTACTTCATTTCTCCCAAATCAAACATGCTGATCCACTGTAATTTGCTGTAGGAAAAGTAGGATAAAATTGAGCAACAAATGCTGGGGTCTTCCCAGTGCTAACTAGGACTGGAGTTGCTATTTTCGACAGCCATTGCCATTTTTCTTAGTTTTATTTGTTTAAAAAGAAGACCGTGATATTGCATTGGCAAATTCCGCACAGAAATGAAGAGTGGAAGAAAAGAATAACAAAGGCACCTCAACTTTTCCTCATTTATGTAGGACAGTATATGGATCAGCTATCCTCCAGTCACACAAGCTGAAAATTGTTCCACTTGACTGCAGTTCTGCAACCACGCGGGAACCCGTCCTTTCTGTGTTCTGGACATATCCAGAATTCCTGCTGAATTCAGAAGTCCTTGCTTTTGTGACCACATGGGCTGATATTTTCAGCCCTGGTAAGCGAAGTAGGTTTACACTTAGTAATTGGGCGGGAGGCCTCTCAGAAAAAGTTAAGTGGTGTTAGGAGGTGTTGCTTATTCACTAGGTCACGTGAGACCTTCCTGTTACAATAGTAAACCAGTGCAGCACAGAATGCACCTTGCTCCTGGAGTCTAGAACGGGGTCCTTTGCTTCTATACACAGCCCATTAAAGACAATGAAAAGACTCCCACTCACTTCAACAGGCTTTGGACAGAACTGGTTATACACAGGGTCACTCCACTGTCTTCACAGGGTCCTGGTCCCACAGTGGAGGGGGGCCCTGTGAGTTTGTTGCAGAGCTGCTGCTCAGGGATGGGAACCTCCTGGCACCCCAGTCTCCAAAATCATTCAGGCTGCACTTTCTGCATGACTATGTGCTAGCTGAGGGCTGCGTGGGAATTGGTGGCCTCTGCTGCAGGTGATGGGCATCTCAGTTCCTTAAAGCCATGGCCCAGAGGAGGGAAGCGCCTAACTCCAGAGTCTGCAGCTGCCTAGGGCCAGCGCTGAGGATTTAGAGTCCATAGTGCAGCCAT